CAGAAAGAGACACGTGCCATGCTAGCTTCTTGAATACCGAAAAGTCAACAGAGAGTAGTTTCACCATTACGAACTTTTCCTTTCTTCTTCATGCGCTTTCATCAGGTTATACTTGCCTGATGAATACGTTAGTTATGTTATTCTAACGCAACTCGAAGGAAACGAATTCTGTCCCCTTTCTTTTTGCTGTTGTCTACACTACACACGAAAGAAGGTCAACCGCAAAGAATCAGTCATACTTCAAGGAAAGTGGCAACTACACATGAGGACTCATACTCAGTTTCGATCTCAGGTTATAGTAGCGGACATCTCAATTAAGACCATCGACGATATTAGACGATAATTAGGATTAAGGAAACAATAACATAGTCGCAAAAAAAATTGATAGTTTGCTATTTCAATTTAGAAAAATTCGAAACGGGTTTCCATCAGTTCTTAGGAAACATGAACCTGCGTAGCTTTATAAACCAGTTTTCGCCTTTAAAACTTAGCTCTAACGGTCTGCTTCCGATTGGTGAAATTCGCAGGCGGCTAGCGTTGATGGTTGTTGAATTACGCAGAAAACGGGGAGGCCTTTCCTTTTTGAAACAGACAGCAGGCTTGACCATCTTTACAAACAAATACTCCTGTCGAAACTGATATCGTGCATGACGACAGGCTTGCCCACGTTTCTGATTACTAAGACGAAAGAATGAGTGAGAAAAAACAGCCATGGTCACGTTTTTAATTACTAAGACGAAAGAATGAGTAAGAAAAAACAGAACTGTATAGCTTTTTCCGTCACGTGTGATTGAAGAGAAGGTCACAGGTAGATAGTTCTTTTCATTTTTACTTTAGTCGTGCGACTACCAGCGTCAGTTGAGTAAACAAAAATAATGTATTATCTATTACTCCATCTACTTTGCGTCGGCTTTCTGTACTTATTAATTCGAATATTTGCCGGACGGTTAACTGTTATTCCAAATAGTCGGCACATTTTCGTTCAACCTCCCTTACCTCTCAAGTATCATCTACTAAATCGTGCCGGTATAATCATAAAATTTTTATTTAATATCAATCTATTTGGAACATATAATTTTGAATGGTTGAAACAGAAAGCTATTAAATCGAATGAACAAGATTTAGGATATGTACTCGATGATTTTGGTGATCAAATGGAAATGAATTTGTTTGAAGAAGCGTTTGAACAGGGAAGAAAAGGATGGTTAGTGGATCCGTTCATTTCGACTGTAGGATGGTTTTCAAGAAGAGTGTGGTTAGTTAAGGCGTTAAAAGAACGTTTAAGAATCGTCGATGACCTTAAACATCATCCTGAAATTCGTGAAATTGAAATTCGTGCACCATTGATCATTCTCGGCCTTCCTCGTACCGGTACCACATTACTCTACAACCTGCTAGCACAAGACCCTTTTGCCTGTTATCCACGTCTCTGGCAATGCTTAAATCCCTCCTTATCCAGACAACATAAAAAATCTAGTGTCACTGACACTACTACTAACGACCCACGTCTTCCTGAGGAAATTGACTTCCTCGCCACGACAAAATTAACCATACCTACAATTGATCAGACACACTATCTCAACGTTGAACTACCTGAAGAATGCTCATTTCTTTTTAAAAATATGTTAATAGATGTGAATGCTGGTGTTACAAGTGGCCTATTTGGAAGTTCAGCTTCGTTTATTAAGTTTATTTCTGATCAGAGTAGTAGAATGGATTCGTATTACAGATATCACAGATTACTCATTCAATTTCTCGTCTACAAATCACAGCGGAAGATCAGTCATGTTTTGTTGAAATCAGCAGCACATTCTTTGTGTATTCAATCACTATTGAAAACTTATCCTGATGCACGTCTTATTCAAACACATCGTGATCCATTGAAAGTTATTCCTTCATTTTCTAGTCTTTACTTACAAGTACGCAGTGTGTTAGCTAACTGCGTCTCACTTGAAGATCTTGGACAGAAATCATTGAAAACCTGTGCGAATCTAATTGATTCAATTATGGAACAACGAGAAACTACCAAATCACCTCAACAGTTCTTTGATTTACACTATCACCAACTGATTCAAGATCCAATTAATTGTATACGACAAATCTATAGCTATTATCAACTAACCTACACTAACGAATTTGAAGCTAAAATGTTAGACTATCTCAAACACAATGTTCAAGGAAAACATGGACGACATGACTATTCATTAGATAAATTTAATCTATGTAAAACTGAAATAAGACAAAGATTTAGAGTTTATCAAGAAAAATTTAATATTTTAAGAGAAAGTTAGGTTTTTTGATTCCTGATTACGCGATTTTTTAAAAAAACTCTTTTTCTTTAATCAAGCATACTGTTCAAACGTTTGTACAAAGCCAGCTATTTCACATTTAGATCCGTGTTGTCAACTTTATGTCTTAGGCGATGATGGGAAAGCGTCTTGGGAAGGAGACTGGTTTTACGTCTCTATTTTTCAGTCTAGTTGGCCTATGTACACTCTCTCGCAAGTATTTTGTTTCGTATTTTGTTAAGAAGTCGATGTTATAACCCTGTTTTTCACGAATAACATAGAGAACTTTTAAAAGTTGATATAGACCCGAAGCTTTTGAATAAACCAAGACGAGGAGTTTATGTCTTTATATTAACTATTACGCCATGCTTAACAACAGGCGACTTAACAAAAAGCTGAAAATAAGAACACTGATACAGAAACATGATCAGATCGATTAGAAATTCTAAAAATCTTCAACGGTTCGCCGCCAATTGCTGCTTGTATTGCTAGCTGAATGCCCTCTAACGAAGGCCCCGGATAAGGCTGAAGTCGACTTAAATTGTCGATTGGAACGATGTGGTGGACGGCGTTGATAACAACGGTTAGAGATTACACATATTTAAACCAAACAGCCTCTCAAACACGATGCCCTATAAATCCATCAAGTCGACATTTTATTCGTAGTCTAAGCGACCAAGAGTAAGTTAAGGACTAACCCGCCTACAATTACAGACTACATCCCCTGCATTAATCTTGTATTTCAAGTTAACGTAAAACCAACTTGCCCGCACTAGAGCTATCAAACATTTATTTTTGTGACTATGTTATTGTTTCCTTAATCCTAATTAATCAATTATGGCTACACCAACTAATACGCTTCCCGCAATCACGACTGCTGTTTCAATTATATCAATGAAACTTGAGTTTGAAATATTAACGTTTCCATAAATTTGTTGGAAGATATTTTCCAGGAGTGAATTTAATAATCGAATGCTTCTTCTTGCGAACTGATATGTTGTACCAAACATCCTTCGACTTATCGAAACTATGCATTTGTAATTCGTATTTTGAAGAATTATCCAGAATTTAGAAGAAACGCAGCGAGTTCTGAGTAAAAAGTCATGGTCGCAGAAGAAGAATAACCAGTGGTTTCGTCTTTATTGTTTAGAATTATGTCTACAGTTCAGATATTTTCAATCAGAAACATCTCCTAATTAAAGTACTTCGTCTGAATAGCAACAAATTCTGTGGCCTTAGAACATTCCACATGTACTGTGTATATTCCATAAAATAAAATCTTTATTTCTTTATTTTGCTTTTATTTTTTAAAGATAAATGACGACTTTATATTTATCCAGTATTATTAATAAACAATAAAACAAAATTAGCACTCTTAGTGACCAAATGCGAAAATATGAAGTGAAAAGTTTCCATGAACAGTTCACAGTTCACACGTTGTGGAATATATTTTTCAAGCGTGCCCACACACCATTTTACGATGTTCACGTGCGAATGCAGTTCATTTTACGATAACAGGGGTTTACATACGGTTTTATATATTAAAATTTTCCCATCAGTTGTCTTAGAAAGCTGAAAATTTTATACAAAACACCCGTTTTTTCTAACCCACGTTCTTTGAAACGCTCGTCTAATAAAAACAAATCGTTCTTTTGGAAAACTAACAAAATAGATCTAATAGTATGCCTATGTAATAAAAATTCCCTATCAGTGGAAAAGAAATTAAAAAGCGAGAAACCTTGTCACGATACAAAAGCTTAAAAAGTTTATTTTCATTATGAAGAGGACATTTGACTCAATATACAACAACTATCAAACAATTAAGCAATGAAAGCTCAAACTTTTAAAGTTATAGATTTTCCAAACTTTGTTCCCTATTGCGCTCGTGTTTTGGAAGAAAATAATTAAGGAATCAACGATTTTGAAAAATCATGTCACAGATCGATAGAGAATTTATTAATCTATCAAACAAAAATAAAAGTAAAAGTTAGTATCAATTATTGATTCATTTATGTAAAACATTAATTAATGATACCAAAAACAAGGTGATTTTCTACACAGAACAATCGAGTAAGCGTGACTAAAAAGTAAGACGGCTATTCGACGCAGCTTATCGAGTTACCTAACGGCTCCAAAAACTACGACCTGAAGCCTCTTTGTTGCTACGGTACAGAATGTTGAAAGTCGCCTATTTTTGCTATATATATCTTTGTGGTTTTTTCCTCCACCAAACTAACGCACATTCATTATCACGGCTTTCTATTTCACTCAAGTACGAAGTATATTCATTCGAGATAACTGAGCGTTGTTTGGTAACTATTCTTGGCAAAAGTAAAGTTGGCGGTGCAGACGGAAGGGGTAATGACGTCCTGGTTGTTCCTGAAGCTCTTGTTGACATGATTAAATATTCATTGTGTGTAAATTTTTCCGCTAAAACTAACGCTCTATTTGAATTCCAATCGACGACTGTTTTGGCAGCAACACCATTTGCTTGAAATGAACTGGATTGTGCAAATGTAAAATGTTTAAATCAAGGATCAAGAATTGTTGACAAGAGGTAAAATTTATTTAAAAACGATTCTTTAAACCGTTTGTTTAGGTGAATTTTCATTGCTGTTCTCACATCATCGATATGTGTTAAATCTGCTTCTAATGAATTCAATACGACTGTTAAAAATATCAGAATTAGTGATATTGTAGATGTTGTAGCAGATGATATATCGCGTGTAATTTCTTCTAATGGTTCACGCGAGATGTGAAACCAATTAGTTTTGTTGAATCAAGTAAAACACTGAAAAAATTGTTAAAAGAAATTGAGCCATATTATGTTATACCAGGACGTACTTATTTTCGTGATAATGTTATTAAAAAAATGTGTAGAAGTTGATACTGAACTTCGCAGAGGCGTGTTATTTGTGTATTACTTATCGGATTGTTATGTAGAGAAGAGAATAAAAGAAGAATACTGTGTTTGAGCGTGATTTACACTCTATCAGTATACAGCTACTGATACCTCACTTTACTCGATGTATCCCTCTTGGGTACTTCCGCACAGGTCCGCCCAGTATTACATGAGCTAAAAGCCGGGAAGGTTTGACTAAATGCAATCGATAGTCCTACTAAGGGTATGTAAAGGCCTCTGTCGCCGCAGAGAAAAATTATTCCGAACACGGTTTTTCATCGGCCATAAGTTCTGAATTGACGCGTTTTAGGGGTGCCAGAAGAGCGAAATCTGACCTTATCTGGTCCTATCAAACGTTCTCATACTACTAGCTGGAAAGAGCATACAAAGTTGCATATTTCTATCCGCAAATGAGATTTTCTCTTCT